CAGGTCCTTTTAATTCGCTCCCCCATACTTCCTCATTTGTAGCCAGAGAGTGGTGAGGTAAGACGTTAATTTGTCATCGTTTCGCAGTAATGTGCAAAACCCTTAACAGTCCCTTGTGTTGGTGAACCCTCTGGTGAACCTACTGGAGCTTGGCACGCTGGGAAGGTTACCAAGATGGCGCTAGCCAAGATCCTAGGTGCCCGCATTGAGGGTTGGTATTCGTCAGAATCCTCAATAGTAGCCAACGCTTGAAGGCAAAAATTCTCCTTGATGGTTGTGCAAACTGGATTTCATCATACTTTTGGTGTTTCTTTTGGTCCCACAGCCTGTTTTAAGGAACACTGTCTGTTATAGTTGTTTGGGTGATTCTGTATTGTTTATAGAATATCGTAAAAGTTATGACAGCATTTTACACAAAGACACTTTTTAACTTTTCAGCTTTTAAGTTTAGGGGATTGGGATAAGGATGCACGTGGTACTTTGCATTCCTAGCTCATTTCATGAACGTTCCTTAATTTCCTGTCTCCAATGGGCTAGATGATCTGGTACTAAGTGAAATCCACACCTCTTCATGCCTCGTATGAGTTGGTAGGATCTAAAGTTGCCACCAGCGGATGGCTGTGCATTAATTTCTGCACTTCTGCCCTTCAAGCCGAGCAAACATTACGGAAATGTGTGTCTTCTTGGCGCCACACGGTAGACACACGGTACAGGGCTATGATGGTATTTCGACTAAAAGCAGGAAAGCGTTGTCTGAGCTAGCTCCTGTAATTAATAAACACCCACGAAGTTAAAAAAAAAGAACAGATGAGTACCAATAACGCCGTGTAATCAACATATTGATTATCTATAGCTAAAGATGGTAATAATTGAATGTCACAGGGCTGATTTTATAGCTTGAGCATCATTTTTGTTCTATTCACAGCAAAAGGGGTATGATTGAGCAGCCTTTAGTACGGCTAACGGTTTGAGAAATAGTGGAAATGTGATTGTGCATCTTACTCAATGGTGGCCAACTTTGTAACATGAACCATTTTATTTGGTCACGACGTTTGAGTTAACATAGTTGTATTTTTCGAGGAGTGTAATTTGCGGCAAACAGTAAGGCACGCAAGGAGAAGGAAGCCAACTACCTTGACCTTCAAGTCAGCCATACCCAGTCGATATTCAAGATGCAATGGGTATGGTTAAAGTTTAAAGTTTGAATCATCCCTTTACCTTCCAGTATAGGGGCGGGGACCATGTAAGTTTCTATAGCGCCTGGGCAACACAGGGCTAGTACACTGTTATCGCATATATATATAAATGGCGCATATATATATATATATATATATACACACACACACACACATATATATATATATGTGTGTGTGTGTATATGTGTGTGTTGTATATATATATATATATATATATATACAACACACACATATATTCCCTTAGATTAGATCATTGCTAATTTGTTCTTTTACACGCCTGTGGAGGGATTCTGGCTGGGCAATCAAAGTGGAGCATGTAATTTACACAATAATTAATTATATTTTTAAATATATTTTTTTATGAATTATATTTGTTTAATCATATCTTTTAGTTGTCTAGGACTTTTAGTCAGTGCATTCATTAGTTTGTTGTAGCATCATTTTATTCTTCATTTCGGGAACCGTCTTATCTTTGCAATTCAGCACACTGCTCTGCTTCCAAATGCTACGAGGCCTCCTAATTTTGCAGTATAATGGCACACTCAGGATCTTATTAGCCCTGGCAATTATACCTGACAGGAATTACCCAGTAGATTATTCACAAATTTCAGTACGTTCCACCGTTATGGCGATACGATTATACGAGAGAATTTCCTTTTACCGGTACCTTTATTATTTCCATTCTTGGCGAAATAGATCAACGTAAATATTCATTAAACCAATCGATATCCAGCGATCATCTGATCAATGATAAGCTCAAGACCTTTAGTGAGCAATCGGTCAATATCGACATTTTGTAATTAGATATTCTACAAAGCACATCTGTGGGAGAGAGCATCTGTTGGAAAGGTTGAACCGTTTTCAATCACACCCCAAGGAAACAAGTCAAAGGTTCAAGAATCCACACATTTTTGCAATAGGGATAATTGTAATCAGTGTGGAGATTATTGATTTGAGTAAGCACATTGTCCACAGACGAAAAGCCAAAAAACAACGAATAAAGAATTACATGGAGCTCTCATCACTACAAGTCGCCGGCTAGCGCTTGCCGGCAATGCCACCAGGTACAACGAACAAGAAACAAATAACGAAAGAAGTAGATGGACCGCTTAGAACAAAAAAAGAGATAAACATCACACGCTTGTACTTACCGGCAATGCCACAAGGTACAACGAACAAGAAACAAACAATGAAAGAAGTAGTTGGACCGCTTAGAACAAAAAAAGAGAGAAACATCACACGTTAGTGCTAGCCGGCAATGCCACAAGGTACAACGAACAACTATGGAAAATATATATCCGTCAATAAAATTCGCAAGGGAGTAGTTACTGCCGTAGCCTGTTGAAATCTACTAAGTACTTAAGCATTTCAACTATTAACTAACATCACACTTTATTACGTTGTCAGCATAATTTCTTTGTGCGGTTAGACTATAGACTTTAATAATCTCTGGTGTCTGCTGGAAAATCCCTCTCCAAGTGGACAGTCTTTCATGACTGATACAATATGTACAACTCAGCACCCCAATTCCGCCAAGACAGAATGAGGTCAGGCCTAAGTAGTATTGTTGATGACATGGTACGAGATCCATTCACGGCGTCAGCCACGCAGCGAGGTCGACAGTAAAAACGTCCCCAAGGTAGACACCAAAATGGCTCGAACATACGACCAGCGCCATTCTTGTTTACAGTTCACTGATGACTTATTTCTTCTCATAACGTCAAGAGATCTGATGAATCGAATAACACGGAGTCACCAAATAAAGTGTAATTGGCATTCAGCAAGGAATGCCTGTAAGTCCGCAATTTGGAATTCTCTTTGTATTTGCGCCGTTTACTGGCCTGTGTCAAAGATATTACAAAACGGTCTCAGGCGATGGCTGCTGTCATCCATAACGGTTGGTTTAAATGTGTTGTAGAGGCTGATCTAGTTTAGCTGTGCTATCAACAATAGCAACCTAATATCGTAAATTATTTTATACTCTGCAGTCACATTATTACGGTAGCGCTTGGTTGATGTTGTATTCTGTGAAATACATGATATTTTTTCATCATTTTTTTAAATTCTACAAAAGGAATGTAGTGCTGGCTACATTTTCAAAATGTTTATTTCATCGTTTTAGCAAAGCGTGATCAAAATCTGTAATAATTTTGAAATGTTTCTAGACTGATAAACAATACTTGTTGAAAGTTATCGCTGCTATGATGTGATTTGTAACGCATTATGCATGTGCGTTACAAAATATATTTCCTCATAACTTATTAACACGGACGAAAAATGTCGATGGAATATCTTCCATCTACTGAAGTACGGCAACATTCAGAATAATTTAAACAAGGTTTGATCACATAAAATATTTGTCTGGAAACAACTACACTGCCCATAGCACTGTACTAGTTTATAGGACAGTAGATTATATAGAAAAGCTACCTAAGTATAGAAATCCCAGCAGAGACTGTATAAGTACATGGTTTCATTACTTACTACATAGCCTCTTGTCGAGTGCATGAGTTTCTTGAAATTGTTTGTAAGTAATAGAAGTTGACATATTTGTTGTATCTTATACAGTTGATGTGTGATAAATATCCTTTATCTTTCAAAAACACGCTGCATTTTAATGGTAAATTCATGTATTGTTTCCACAGTCTAGTTATCTTAGAGTAATTTATTGCAACTGTGTTGGTTGAGTAAAACAAATCACCCTAGTGCGGATTTCTTTTCTGCATTTACCAAGAGACAAACGTCCCCCGCAAAGTGACGCTCTCTCTAAATCCTCCGCTATTGTTTTGCATTTTCATTTTTGAATACTCATAAATCTCACACTATACCCATACAAATAAAGCAATGAATATTCCTTGCGTTATCGTGGCCTCACATACGGACTGTAAAGCGACAACTACAAATTGCAGCTCCCTAGATGTGAATTTTATTGTTGTGGCAAATTTGAAATCAAACAATGCATTCGCGTGGCGATTGCCACAAGCAAAGGTCTCCATCCAATCAAAGACGGTGTTACACACAAGGCAATTTTAACACCTAGATTGGTGTATGTTGTAATACTATAGCCTGGCCGCTGATTTTCAGTGTAGAGACAGCGGAACGCTTAAAGATAAAATATTTAAAGGCTTTGCCCAGGGTTATGGTCATTCAGAGTTTGCTATGCTATATATCGGCGAGTCCTAAAGAAACAGCCGTTTCATCTGATGAAGTAAAAAATCTATAGCCAGCACGCATAGAGAATGCTTAAAGCGACGAGGCCTTCAAAGGTGATATCCATTTCAATACGCCTATTGTCAAAACGTATGTTGCTTTCAATCAGCGTTTTTCTCCTGGTTCTCGTTACTTGTTGCACTGGGAAGTGGGGTTGGTTTATTCTATTATTCAAGTTCACGGTTTCCACTACAGGAACGGTGCATCAAGAATCCTCCAAAGATTTCGAAACTAGGTTTTTACAGCGCGTAGCGATGTTCGTCGTTGTCGGGCGAATTTGGGGAAATTTGTAGCAGTTCATGTATGGTGTTGTATTATGCATGTGCAATTTATAGGTGTCTTCTTTGTAACGATGGCCTCTTTTCTTGGCGCATGTCACCCCAGGAGTAATCATGCGTAGGCCCATTGTTACATAGCTCCATCCTCTGCTAAATCAATGCGCCTTGAAAGGGAAAAACGATCGTAGAAAATTAGCAATCTTAGAAAGTGCACCGCCAGGAGGTATGATATGTGAAGACATAGTCGGTCCGACAAAACCATGGACACATTATGAGTGTTGGGCCGGCCCCAGATGTGTTGAACCGAGTCTTTATCTCCACCGGTGGACAAGATGGCAGCGTGGGATCCTTTTAGCGATGAACTTGAGGACATTATAGAGACGGTAACGAGTCATTTATATAGCAATGTCGATTTCTAGATAAATATGTCGACTGGACCAGCTTTAGATCATGCTTTTGCGATTAGCTAAGGCACAATTTATGGCATACATGATATTACGTCGGAATTAAGGCATGTTGGACATCGTAATTTGGCATTTGCATCGACGTTATCTGATGGTGCTAATGCTTAAAGATATCTGCGCGTGGGCAAACATGATTTTGTATACCAAAAACCTTGATTTTTGTTATACCTTAGGATCAGTCGAAAATACCTTTATCACGGCTGACAGGATACCATTGATTTTTTTATTTAATTGCCTTTGTGCCTCAAGCGGTTTGGCGAAGACAGCTGCCTTTCGTATTGTTCGTATTCAGATTTTATCTGTAATGCCCAAGGATGGGATTGCAGTAAATGTAATTTTGTGATTTGTTAAAGAGACTATTTCTGCAGCACGGCACATTTTTCTCGCACATTTATCTATTTATTATCATCACGTCCGGGATACGCACTTACTCTTTTTTATGATTCAGGCTGGGGTTGAGGTTAAGGTTCGGCATTTAAGCTTCACTTACCACATGCCAGCCATGTACCTGTCGCATGTTTTCCTGTCTGCAGCACGAATTTGACCCTTTGCTCTCCGCGTCCTGCTAAAATGATGTAACCAAAGTATCATGTAACAGTTTTGCACCAAATTGACATATTTTAATTGAAAAATCTTTGTTGCTAAAACAGCCCTCACGAGGCGAACTCACTTTGTGGCACCGATACAAACTACCAGAATGTAAACAAAATGACTGACAGCTGTGTTTCAAACTTTAAAACACACTCGCAAGGCGTCATATTTGGGCATCTTCACTCATAAAATTATTTGAATGTCACTTATTTGCAATGGAGTAGGGTTGATTCAAATTACTTTGTGAAGAACTGACCAGAAAATTTACTTTTTGTATCGTCCCAACGTTTATGCAGCTTTATTTACTTATTAGTAATATTTGACCGCATAGTTATCACAGAGGCCCATATACTATTCATATACATTTAGATTCTCTGTGCATATGCAAGATATAATCAAACGTATACGGGAAGGTCCACTCTTAAAGAGATTCTGGACCAGCCAATGGTATTGATTAAAGCTTAGTTTTGATTACACTTATTGATAGGAGGGGAGGTAAATCGGTAAAGCTCACCCAACCAAGACCAACCGCTAAATCAGAAGTGACAAGGCCAGGACGTAGATTCATGGAACTATTTTCTCTGGCGCTTTAAAGGAAGTTTTTTGTTGGCCGGTATACCTCAAATCATGTTTGCTTATGATGTTCTAGCTCAAATGGTAGCATCGTGGGGTCGTGTGGCGTAACGATAGCGTGTTCGTCTCGGAACCAAGAGGTCCCGGGTTCGAACCCTGCCGTGCCACCGAACTTGTGCCCTTGAGAAAGGCACATTACACGACTTTCCTCCATTGGTATGGTATTTAGTGCGATTCGTCGTATATTAAGAAGCTGATGAAAGTATTCATAGAATTTTTAATGTTGACTAAGCAGATTTTACCATTGTATGCTTAATGATCACAACTGTAAATGTATAATAATGTTATAGAATGATACGTACGTCTGTAAATAACCTCACGATTCAGCCCTCTACGGCTGCCAGGAGGCATGTATATCTTATGCTAAGAACTAATAAACCAGTCTACTACGGAAATATTCATTACTCTAATTTACCAGTTGAAAGTCGCTTATAAAGAGTAAGGCAAATGTTATAACCCCACAGAAACCCCATGGACAACCTCCGTCATTGTTCTTGACCTTTTCTGTTTGAAGGGGTTCCAGAACTGTTTGATCTGTCTGACCTGGTCTGATTTGGTAGTGATGTCTGCAGAGAATCATTCCCCTAAGATTTCTCTGATGATTGCTCGGACGGCTACTGAAGGCGGACATCGTTTAAGATAACGCCCGCATCGTGATGCCTTCCTCCGGGCTTGGTTCATGAGGCGATCGCTGGGTCAGACCCAGGCCACAGACCACCATTTCCAGCCCCCTTTGGGATATATGGTAAACATCTAAGAACTGAGCCGTCAAACCTACTTGAGTGTTCAACTATTGCAAACTCACATTGACAGGGTAGTTCTACCTCCAAATTGCCCATTTAGTCCAAAAATCTCATTTTCTAATCAATGGAAATAAGTACGATAGATAGAATCATGACCTCTGACCCCCCCTGTAAACAAACAACAACAACAACATGGCATTACTTTTAGAGCAAGGTTTGATCACATAAATTATTTCTCTGGAAACAACTACAATGCCCATAGCACTGTACTAGTTTATAGGACAGTAGATTATATAGAAAAGCTACCTAAATATAGAAATCCCAGCAGAGACTGTATAAGTACATGGTCTCATTACTTTTTGTAAAAAAACAACAACAACAACATGGCATTACTTTTAGAGCTCTACCAGGCAGCCAAAACAAGACTAAAAGGGTAGGATATTGTCTTCGAGATTCTAAAAGAGTTCGTCCGACATTTTGTGAGCTTGGAGTATGAATCGAAGAAATGCGATTCGCGACAAGTGGGGTGCATTTAACGTCTGAGAAAATTACATCGGTCTTATCTCAGCAATAGCAGGGCCACATCTGCAATACGTCGCCGGTTATGAGAATCTCTGGACGACCGTGTGTTTTAAATTGCATTATGAAAGTTTATTGAAAATCCATGCCCAATGGCTAATTGCAAAAACATGATAAAGTAATAAACAGTAAAAATAAGTAATACTAATCCTACTTTTAATATAGTTATTGTTGGGTTTGATTTATTTTCTATGTGCAATAGAGTATAAAATGACCGACATATTGTGAAATGTTTGTAGGAGGTGTTAATAGGAATGCAGTTTTTTTTAAAGGTGGGAAGGTGAGTAAAGCTAGGGAACATTTTGGTGACCATTTCAAATAACTTATCTCTTTCGGTGCTATATTGAGGGCAATGACAAATAAAGTGCATTTCATCCTCCACTGCATTTCCTACAATATTTACTCATTCTGTCGTTTACAGACAGTTGTTTGTATCTTCCCTTTTCTATTTTTAATGTATGTGTGATAACGCTAAGCGTACATACAGAGCCTACTTACTTATGAAATTATAATCGACTAGTTAATGTTGGCGTGCACCGTATGATGGTGTAAGTAAAATGCAAATCTCATAATCACAGACGTTTCATGTGGCTAATCTACCGATATGTCATTGTTTAAGCCAATAAATATGACATCCGTAAAATGGACCACTGTGCATGCAATCCATGTGTTAAAAGATTCTGGCTATTTTGTATTCCAGGAACATACTTTTTTTAAATTCAAACATTCGACATGGTATTAAAGCACACTCAAGTGACAGCCCACGGAGATGACTTTTTAAACTACCACTTACATAAACAACCTAGATTGAAAACATAGATTGTTACAAAATGAAATCCAACAAAAATGAAATACAAAGGAAAATAGACATCTAACACAAATGCCAGGGCCAAAGAATTTTGAAATGATTGATAAAAGTATGATATGTAAAATTTGCCTTGTTATGTTCGAACGTTGTAGTTCTATGCGTTTAAGTCCTATTTTGGGCATGGGTACATGTATAAGTGGCTTTTCATGGAGTTTGAATTAATCTAGGTCTGATGTACAAAATCTAACTTATACTGCGAGCCTCCGATGCTCATATGAGTTCAATTTGACAATAAATTCTTTATTTCTTTAAACCATCAAAGATGATCTGACAACCAGTTTTCTCCGGCCACCCTTCTTGGTTTTCTGTTCCTTTTAGCGTTTCACTTAGTGCCACGCTGGTCCTTTGATGTTATCCTCCCATCTTTTCCGTTCTCTACCACCTTGTCCTAAAAATGGGACTACAGCTTAAGAGCCTTTAAAAGGCTTCAGACGCCGCGCTACGGGGTGCAACCTGTGGACGCACCCCCAGCTGTCAGCAGTTGGCTGACACTCTGGAGTTGTCGACGGGGCCCGCACTTAGCGTACATTGACAATCAGAGCGCGTGCACCCTCCCTGGTACCAACAGCAAACCATCAGAATTCAGGCACGAACTTAATCAACCGGCTTTAATCACGCCAACTCACGTACGCGTTTTTTTCTACGGCAAATGATTAAAGAACTAGGCTGTAACGACAGCATCAGGAGCGAATGATTGGGTTCAAGGGTAAAACGTTCGTTTTACAAGGGAATAGATTAAAGTGCCGCTACTGATAGAGGCAGACCTGTTGTTTTTTTTGGAGAGGTCGTGGATTGATACCATTCATTAGATCTCATGGCAAACTGGTCAAGTTTTAAGGTGCTTTCTTTGGAACACACTAATTGTTCTGAGTAGACGCCGTGGAATGGTCACGGTTATGTGGACGGTGGTGTTACAGATCGATTGAGATGCAAACCGCATGGCTACGTATTACTTTTCATCACGTATTACCCTAGTGTATTTCCAAGGGCAAAAACTACTTCTTTCCTGCTATCTTAAACGACCAGTCGTATGTATCCTCTTAAATTAGGAGGACAGTTCCTGCTCTTGAAGACGGCCATTAGTTTATTGAACTAGGCAGGGTCATGGGGAGAAAGCGGCGCAGCTAACGGTAATCCAGGATGCTCACTCCGCTCAATCGTAGCGCGTTCGACCTTTGCTCCAATCATCCTGCGATGCCTCCGAATTAATTTTCTTCAGAGGGAAGGCTTCGCTTCCTCTTTGTCCTGGTACATCGCTAAACCAACTGTGAAATTAGAAGTCCATTTTCGTGTGAGATGTCCGTGATTTGAGAGGCTTCATCACCTGGCCTCGGGCTTTAATCTTCATATACCTTATTCTGAATTAGACAAATCCTGAAAGCCTAAAACTCATCAGCGTAAAGTTCCGTAACATTCCATCATTCAAGTTCGTGATGTTGCGATGTAATGTAGGTAGCTCTGCATCATTGCAGAGGCTACTCCCAATACTGCAATATATTGTGTTG